AATAAAAAAAAAGTTGCCAACAATCTACATTTCTAGCAGTGGAAACCTCGAGTCTCCTTTAACCAGGGGAGAACCTTTGAGTGGGCTGTGTGAGGGAAGCAGAGCTCAGGAAAGGTCACCATTCCAAGGTCTGGGTCTCTCAAGACTCTTGGTGGAGTTGGGGGCTTGACGTAGTCTGCCCCATGCCGTCCTCCTTGATCTGCGGTGCTCAAAGCAGCTGGCCGGGTTGGAGCATTTCTCCGAGAGGCCCTGCAGCTTCCTGGGAGGCACCCATCAAGATGCCATCTTTCCACTTTTGCTTTTGCTCATTATTCACATCTCCCTGACAAACTGAGATGGCCTCCGGTGATCAGCCAGCGGCAAAGTCTACCAAGCGCCTCCAAGAGGAAACGCACGGGCAGAGAAGTGTAAACCCGGCTGATGAGCCACCTCTGTGCAGCTGCCCAGGAATTGAGGGGCGGGCTGGCCCTGGGTGTGGTGAGTGACTGAGGTTGGAAATTTCCTCAGACTCACCACTTTGGCACCATGTTTGTACCCTGACCCAGGGGTGCTCTCACATCCTCGGGACGTCCTTGCTGCCTCAGTGCCACACCCTGTCTCCACCATCACCTCTCCCATGTCCTCTTCCTCTGCTCAGCTGGTCTGCTGCCTAGTGGATGCCCCACCCAGGAAGGAGGTGCTGGCCTCCCCTTCTTGCAAGTCCCCATTCCTCACATGATTGTCTCAGAGCCCCTCCCATGGCTTTGTGGAGAGGAACCCTCCTCCTCCCCGTCAATCCCACCCACTTCTACAGCCCTCTCCCCCGCAAGCTTGTCTCCTTCTGTGGGACACGGTGGGAGGAGTTGACCTGGTGATGGGGGCACAGGGCTGATTCTGTCACTCTTTGTCAGCCCTGGAGGCGGTGGGTGAGCCCAGGTGTCAGTGGTTTTAAAACTGGCGGGTACTTGACACCTGTTGCCGTCAGCCTCAGGCCGTAGTTGCCAGTTCTGGGACAAGAAAAGTCCCACATGATATCCTGTTATCACAGAGCTGAATCGAGAGCTACAGGTGTGATCCGACCCCTGAAGATCCCAGTGGCCTGTGATAGACCTTAATCGGTGCATTCGGCTTCTGTCACTGCACCTAAGATTGCGTTGGCCCAGGTCTGGGCCCTGATCCGAAAGCAATACCCAAAATGCACACAGCAGACGCCCCCACTGAGTGAGTGGGTTTCCAGCGCGTCCGGACACATCTAACAAAGGGCAGAGGCAGCAGCCTGCAGGCCTCTACTTGGTTCGACAACGTGCATAGGGCATGGGGGATGTACTCGTGGGCTGGGAAAAGGGGAGGCTCTAGAGGACAGAGACAGCGGGAAGGGAGAGGACAGCACAGTGACCTCCCCACCCCGCTCCCCATGAAGCGTCTGAGGCAGAAGGCGGAGGACTGCTGGGAGTCACAGCACCCAGCATCATTGCTGAGGCACACAGGTGACAAAATGCGACCCCCCGGGGGTGGAGTCTTCCTATTTTGTGAGGATCACGGGGATCTCTGGTTCTTCTGGTGAAGGTGGCTTTGGGGCCACTGGGAGCATCCTCCTGGGCCGGGATACGAGCACTGACAGCAACACGCAAAACACAGTGTCCACATTAGTGCACCACAGAGAGAGCCCGACTGTCATCGCAGAGCTCTGTCACATCCAGTCACGGCATTCTGTTCACCAAAGGAAGCCAGACATGAAAGGGGACAGCATCTGTGATGGCATTTATATGAAGTTAAAGAGCGGGCACATCCAATCCATGACGACAGAGGTCAGAGTGGCCCTTGCCTCTGGGGGAGGCTTCTGGGTGATCATCTCGAGCTGGGTGGTGGTTCCCTGGGTGCATGCATGGCAAACCTCTCCACGCTGACACGAAGGATTAGTGGCCTGTGCTGCATGTGAGTGACACCTCAGTAAAAGTAACAAAGAACTATACTCACAAAGAGTTTTTTAACAACATGAGAAAATGTCTATACTGCAATCTTGAGCAAAAAAGAAAAGAGCATCATACAGAACTGGTGCTGTGAGGGGACAGTTAAGCAAAAAGTATGCACAGCAAAAGGTCTGGATTGAAACATCAAGTGTCAAGAGGGGTTGTTCTGAGATTGTGAAAATGTGCCTAATTTTGTTCCTACTTTCTATTTCTCTGTTTTTCCTCATCTCACACAATGAGAATCCTACGTTTCTGTGGCCCATCGCACTGTTGACTGACACAGACCCAGAGCCCACTCGAGCCCCGGCTGTGTTCATGGCAGCCGCTGTGTGGCAGTTTCAGCTCGTCGGGCTCACGCAGTGGGCCCTTGGCACCCAAGGGGAAGGCTGACGTTCTCCCATGCTGGGGGAGATGCTCTGAGTCGACGGTCCAGGGACGGCGTGGGCAAGGAGAGTGAATGACCCTTGGAACTTGGGTGCAGTGTCTAGGTTTGGAGCAGTTGTCTAAAGGCTGGCCAGTGCCCAGAAAGGAGGACTGGCACCAGACACTCTCCAATATGGATACCAAGTCTAGAGTGACAAGCCAGTCTAAGGTCATGTCTCCTGGGGAGCCTGAATGCCGTATATATATGTGAATGAGACTCTGCAAACTGGAAGGGCCAAGGTAGAAAGAGAAGCAGAGAAACAAAGTCACAGCATGAGAAACCCCTAATTTGCAGTCACTGTTGTTTAAGCCAGAACAATGTTCCATTGATGAAATGCTGAAGAAGTTCCCATGGGTCCTCACTTCCTCGTGCATCCTTGGGATGAATCCCGGTCCGAGAGGTGACCTCACCTCACCTCTGGACCCAGAAACCTGAAAGGAGGTAACGCACCCTGCTAAACTGGGCTTCCTTGTTTCAGCCTCTGAATCCTCACCCTGTTTTCCACCCAACGTGTATTTTCCAAACCAACCTGGCCTTGGAGTCGTTTAGTAATTAAGGGGGGAGCTGCTTTGGGACCCCCAGGGCTAGCACATCACTTGACAGATGAGGAAATGAAAGCTCAGAGAAAGGAAGTATCTTACCCAGGGCACACTACAGTCAGCAGCAGGGTCTGGGTGACTCTGAGGCTGCTCCACTTACTCCAGGCCGCCCTCTGCAGGTGGGCACGCCTTCACGAGCTCCACCACCCCTGTGACGGAGACCCAGAACACAGGGCAAAGCCTTGGCTCCTGTGGTCAAAGTAAGACCCGGCCACTGTCACAGACAGAAATGTAACATTTCTCCAGCAGCATCTGACAGTTCCACCCACGTGCATCGCCAGGGCACACAGAATGCTCTTCAGAGAAACAAACTGAATTTAGCTGACCTATTTTCTATGAATGTGCATGTGGATCTCTGTGTGGCCCATATTTCACTGCTTCAGTAGCTCGCAGAGGGCCGGGATCTGCAAAGACCCTACCCTTGTTGTATCATTTGATCTTGACCGCAGACCTATCGAGTAGGTTTGTGTTTTGGGGTTTTTGCCCCCATTTTACAGATAAGAAAACTGAGGCTTGAGAGTTTCAGTAACTCGTTCAGAGTCAAGAAGGAAACAGTGAAACCGGGGTTTAAACCCCACAGCACGTCTGCAGAGTCCAGTTCTTCATCACCGCCTCTCGAATTGCCCATGCAGGATGAACTGGAACATCTTTTGCACGATTCACTGTCCTGGTTTTGATTGCTGGTCGTTGGGCGCTGTTGTAACACAAACCATCACCCTATATGGGCTGGTTCTTGTCGCTGGGCTACTTCTGCCTTTCCTGGCTTCCCCGACACTCATTTCCTCCTGGTCTCTGAGCACCAACCATTAGCTTCACCCTTCCACCTCTAGTTCGCTGACACTAATCTGCTCTAGACGGGGACCCCAGCGAACCAATTTTGTTAGAATTTTATAAAATAAACTCTCTCTAAGAAAACATCGCGGAATGAGTAACTAAGACTTTGAGGTTTATTGAGAGAATATTCTGTGCTAAATCCTGGACGGGGCTGCCTCACGAATCCTCCCAACAGACCCGGGGAGCAGCTGGAGTGTGCAGCCCAGCGCACAGATGGGAAAGCTGAGGGTCGGGCAGGCCTCAAGCTCGGGCGTCTGCCTGAAGAGGTCGCTTGCTCAGCCCGAGGGGGAGGCTGCCTCCACAAGCTTAGGGTCTCCTTTGCCATCCCTTAGCTCAGAAGCCAACGCTTCTTACCTCATAATGAGGAAACAGACACCCCCAGAGGGCGTGCTTGTGGCTCAGGAGCGGCTCTCCCCTGTGTTCTCAGCTCTGTTGTCAACAGTTGAGGTTTGTAGATAAGGAACCAACCACGAAGAAAGCTCGATGTGACTGCCTATACAGTAGTCTGCTCGTATGATCCTGAACCTGACCCTGTCCCTCTGTCAATTTTTGCCCATTTCCTGTTGAAAATTTCTCATACTCCAGATAGACTGTGTGCGTGGCGGGAGGAGGTCCGCTGCCTCTCCATCTGGCCCAGCACAGGCGCTCACAGGTGCTGCTGGCGTGGAGGGCTGCAAGACAGTGACGAGGCAGAGGGAACATTCATAACGACACCCCCACCGCCCCTCAGGTACCTGACGCGGAGAAAGCTGGGCGACGTGTTTAGCTGCAAGGTGAACCTGTAGTTAAAACCCTTTAGACAATGTTATTTTAGTTTACAGAGAAAAACAGTATTGAGTGGTGAGCGAGTGTGTGAGTCGAGGTGGGCGGGGGGGATGGGAGGAGAGTGGATAAAGGGGAGCGTGGGGTTGGTGTGAGGCACTCCTGTCCCACTTTGAAGTTGGTTCCAGCTGGTTTTCCTGGAGGACAAATAGGAACAGAATCAGAATCTCTCACCCTTTTCGCCTCACCACCGATAAGCCCTGAGGTCTTGTAGACATCATCTGCTTCCTGGACAGCAGTTTCTTTCAGGAAATGAGGGCTTTGGACTAGATGGTGTGAATGTCCTTCTAGTTCTAACATCCTTCAGTTCTTTCTGTTTTCTAACAGACTGCGCAGTGGACGAGCAGAGAACCAAAAGAAGACGGCGCACTCGGGGAGACGGCGAGTACACTCTCAGACGGAGGTCTAGTCTCCAGCCTATTTTTAGCTCAATAGGAAAAAAAAAAAAAAAGAAGAACTGTTCTCTGATTTTTTTGCCTGGTAATATACTTGTTCATTAAACTCCACCCCCTTTCAAAGAAGCTGCATTTCCTACTTTCACACTGTCTATATGTTTGATTCACACAGCTCAGCAGAGCAGAGCAGCTGAGACATCTGTGCCCTGACGAGAAGGCCTCTGGTAAGTCACCTCCCAGCCCCTTTGCCACTAGTCAGCTCAGCTCCTGGCTGAGTAACAGCCTGTAGAGGAAACCCAGAGAAGACATTAAACCATACCAGCTGCTCGTAGAACTATCCTAAAATACCATCTTTGAGACAAGGAAAGACTTAGGATTTAGAAAGAGTTTCAGACCTGATAACATCAAAGATATAAAACATGATTATGAATGAAAGTTTTTAAAGGGAGAATTTTTTCTTTTAAACCCTCGCCTTTCAAAAGAGAGATTTTCAGAGAGATGATGGTTGGCCAAACTCTTGGAAGAGGTTATCTTCTGGTGAGGAGCACGACAGCCTCCGCAGGGGATGCCCTTGAACGTGGGGCCAACCACAAGTTGTGTTAAGTCTGGTTCTTTTGTTTCGTTTTGTTTTTCCCCAGAAAAAAGGGAAGCCTAAATATTCTCCAAATTAATATCAAATTGCAATATGATATAAAGTTTTCCTTTAATATATCAGTTCTGCAACACATGGAGTGTATGATTCCTTTGCTGGCTCAGAATTTAAAGGTGAAATTTTCTGTGTGCTTCTCCCAGCTGCCTAACGTGAGGCACAGGGAGCTTGAGACGTACAAAGATAATTAGAGGCAATTCTGAGCCGAGCAGTGGAGCTGAAGTAGACCAGGCAAGCCAGCAGGCTGCGAAGGGGCCAAGCTAACCCGGAACGTATGGTGGTGAATGAAATATTTTCCACTTGGCCATTTCTCATGTATGTGTGGGAGCTCTTAGTTTTAGCAGCTCAGGAACTACAAACACAAACTTCAGAGACAATGTGAGACAGGCAGTCTGGCGTTTACAAAGTGGCTTCTGGCTCCTATGACCTTGTGAGGGGCATGTGGGCATGATCCCCTTTCATTCTGACCACAATGAGGTGCCAGGCTAACAGTCCCACTCCTTAGTCCTCTCACCAAGGAGGAAGGGTGGCATGGTGGATAAAAGTGCAGGCTGCCTGCATTCAAAATCACTTGCCTCCTAGCTGCGTGTCTTTGGGCAAGTTACTCATCCTCTCTGTGCTTCAAGGTCCTTATGTGCAAAATGGGGACAGTAACATGACCTGCCTCCTAGAGTCAGCTTGAGGTTTAATGACTGAATGGATGTGAAGCTTAGAACACTGGTTGGCATGCAGAGCGCCCTTGGGAACTGGTCATCATGACTGGCACACTCGTGGGGATGCTCTGAGGAAGCTAACTCCAGGGACCGGCAGCTTCAGCACGGACTATAAGACGGTGTTGGACGGCGCCTGACTCAGTTTCTTGAAATTCTTTTCAAAGCCCCATTCACTCCCTGTGGTGACAGAACACCAGATTTTATTTGGAGAGATGATGCTTTCGTGAATTTCCCCAACACAGCTGGGCTGTCCGTCTAGTGAGCAGAAAAGCTGGCAGCAAACCTTCCCTTTACTAAAAAAGTTCATTGTTGGCCAAAAAAAGGGAGCTCAGTTAAATGTAGAAATCTATGTTCCAACTTTTAAAACCTAGTACTGTATAAGATGGCTTGCATCCATGGTGGGGTACTAAACACATTCCAGGACCTTATAAGAGATCACTGTTTCTTTACTCACAGGGTTGAGCAAGATGGATTATCAGACGACAAGTCCGTTCTATGACATCGATTACGGTATGTCAGAGCCCTGCCAGAAAACCGACGTGAGACAAATCGCAGCCAGGCTCCTGCCCCCGCTCTACTCGCTGGTGTTCATCTCTGGTTTTGTGGGCAACTTGTTAGTCGCCCTCGTCCTGATAAAGTGCAAAAAGCTGAAGAGCATGACTGACATCTACCTGCTCAACTTGGCCATCTCTGACTTGCTTTTCCTTCTCACCCTCCCATTCTGGGCTCACTACGCAGCTCACCAGTGGGAGCTTGGAAATACAATGTGTCGACTTCTGACTGGGCTCTATTTTATAGGCTTCTTCTCTGGAATCTTCTTCATCATCCTCCTGACAATCGACAGGTACCTGGCTATCGTCCATGCCGTGTTTGCTTTAAAAGCCAGGACGGTCACCTTTGGGCTGATGACAAGTGGGGTCACTTGGGCGGTGGCTGTGTTTGTCTCTCTCCCAGGAATCATCTTTACCAAATCCCAAAAAGAGGGTACTCGTTTTACATGCAGCCCTCATTACCCACCCAGTCAGTACCATTTCTGGAGGAATTTCCAGGCATTAAAGATGACCATCTTGGGCCTGGTCCTGCCACTGCTGGTCATGATCATCTGCTACTCCGGAATCCTGAAAACCCTGCTTCGGTGTCGCAACGAGAAGAAGAGGCACAAGGCCGTGAGGCTCATTTTCGTGATCATGATAATGTACTTTCTTTTCTGGGCTCCCTACAACATCGTCCTTCTCCTGAGCACCTTCCAGAAATCCTTTGGCCTGGATCAATGCAGTAGCTCTAATAGGCTGGACCAAGCCATGCAGGTGACGGAGACGCTTGGGATGACGCACTGCTGCATCAACCCCGTCATCTACGCCTTCGTCGGGGAGAAGTTCAGAAACTACCTCTTGGGGTATTTCCGAAAGCACATCGTCAGACGCTTTTGCAAAAGCTGTCCCGTCTTCCAGGGAGAGGCTCCCAAGCGAGTAAACTCCATTTATACCGGATCTACCGGCGAGCAGGAAATCTCTGTTGGCTTGTGACTTAGAGTGGTGTTTATACACAGCCTGGGGCTGGGAGCAGTTCTTTTAAAAAGGAACCTACTATCATAGAGGGTCTAAGATCCATCCATCTATTTGGCGTCTCTTTTAAGTATATTAGATACTTTAAGCCCATCAATTCCAGAAAGCCAAATCCATGTGTTGATGAAATAGCAGCCTTCTCATGTCCCCTCCATGTGCATCAATTTATTGGGAAACTCTCCCTTCACTGCAAAAGTTCATTATAGGAAAGAAAAACTCCTCAGAGAATTGCTGATTCTTGGGTTTGCTTACCTGAGCAGCAATAACCAAATGAATTGTATAGCTTCTTACCTGTGCAAGGCAATGTACGGTTTGCAAATGTGCTTAAAATAGGTCCTTGTCTTGCTGTGAGGAAAAAGGACATGAATGTGATCCACTAAGAAAAAACATCTTGGGGCCGGCCCGGTGGCATAGTGGTTAAGTTTGTGTGCTCTGCTTTGGCGGCCCAGGGTTCAAGGGTTCAGACCCCGGGCGTAGACCTACCCACTGCTTATCAAGCCATACTGTGGTGCTGTCCCACATACAAAGTAGAGGAGGAGTGACATGGATGTTAGCTCAGGGACCATCTTCTTCAAGCAAAAAAAGGAAGATTGGCAACAGATGTTAGCTCAGAGCCAATCTTCCTCACAAAAAAAAAAGAGAAGAAAAGAAATGACATCTTCCACGTATGAGCTCTTCTCCAAGGGGATTTCCCCTCCAAGTTGTGGTTACTAAGTTCCACAGATGTTCAGGACTAGGTAAGCCCTGTGGCCTGCTGAAGCTTCTTCAAAGAGAAGGGATTTGAGGTGGATCAGCTGTCGGTGGAGGAGAGGGAACTGAGCTCCAGGGTGCAGGGACTGCACAGGCAAAGGCTGGCTGTCGGGAGACATGGGGGCGTCCCTGGGGAGGAAGGCCAAGGCTGAGAAAGTGAGGAACTGAGACTGCTTTGCTCATCAAAACCTGAGGGAAGAGCAGGGAGCCCTGGCCGGGGTTGCCCAAGTCTCATTCCATGGGCAGGGCGTGACCTGGGAAGGAGACCAGCAGCAATCAGACCGAGCGAGGAGGCCCCCGCGTAGGCTGAGGCACCAGGGAGGAGAAGGAGGGGTGTATTTTCACAGCATTTAGGATGAGAGTCAGTAGAACTTGGGGCGGATTTGGCTTGGAGGTGAAGGGCAGAGGGGAGTCAGAGAGAGCCCCCAGGCTTCTAGCGTGCAGAGTGGAGATGGCCTAAAAGAGACGTCAAGCACACAAGGAGCAGGAGGTTTAGGTCAAACACAGGAGGGGTTGGTGGAAGAGGAAGGGTCGGTTTTGTGAGCTTGAACACAGCCTCACGCAGGCAGACTCTGGGCTGTCTCTCCCTGACTGCTCCTGCCCTCAGAGCCATCCTTCCCACCCCAGCTCGGAGAATGAGGCATCTCCAGGGGGCTTTGAAACGCTCGGCTTGTGAACCATGAGCCAGAGGTCAAGGGACACCGTTAGAACAGATGCGAGATCTAGGTGAGGCCTGATGACATAGTGAATGAAAATCCAGAGCTTTATAAGCACTGAGTAAAGAGGCCCCAAAGAGCGGAGGGAAGCCCAAATGACTCAGATTCTGCCTGCTCGGGACACACCACTGTTTAAGTATGTCTTCATATGTAACTATCAGTAGGCAAAGGGGGCGAGGGACACACTCATCGGGGAGCAGGCCGCCTCGAGCTTTATAAGCTACAAAAGGCCAGTTGACTACCCTCCGTGTTTCAGGCTGAGTGTGGGGCTTTCAACACACCTCGCAGATGCCTTCTCCAGACAAATCGTACCCAACACTATGGGATTTACTAATTTCAAACGGAGAGTGATGACTTTATTTTGCATTTGCTACTTGTGTTATTTCGTACTTGCCTGAGATTGTTTTGAATGTTGGGGTAGCTCAGAGCATCGTAGTAAAGATGAAGTGAGGAAACATAAAAGAGTGAGGCTCCTCAGGAGAGCAAGGTGTCACAATAATAAGAGGTGCTACTGATTTCTCTCAAGCTCTGAAACATGCAACTGGAGGGCTGTGGCTGTCAACAGGAAGTGACTGGAAGAGCCTTTTCTTTGGCTCTTAAGGTTGCTGAGAGTACACAAGGGGCATATGACCCCAGCTCTGGGGCAATTCAAGGGCATTCTGATATCTTTGGGTGGATACATATATATATATATATATATATATACATTTATATGATATTCTGATGTACAAAGAAAGTTACAAATTGCTTCGAAGAAATATGTATCTAATAAAAACCAACATCTCAAATGATGGTTTGTATTCTTGTTCTTGCAGTCAGGTGTACGTTTAGAGAATAGCACATAAAATGGTGAGAGCATTTTGTAAGCAGCTGTTTTGGAAAATTTCACACACATACACACACACATATTGAAAATTGTATTTCTTTTAAAATATTTTTAAAAGTTGACCCTCTCGCTGGCTCAACTTGCCAGAATAATTCATATTTAAAAATGCTGCCTCTAAAGAGGCAGTCTCTGAGCACCTGACCCTGAAAACTTTTAAATTTCAAATTTAATTCTAGTCCTCAAGCAAAAGAATCAACATATTTAGAAAAAGAAGAAAATTGATGTGTGTCCAAGCATATGTCGTGCATCTACGTTTGAAAATGAAGAAGGCAGGTAATGTCAAGGCCTGGTCATTGGTCTGCAGTCCTGAGTTGCACACACGTGAAGCATGAGGATGAGGTTGGTTGCTATAAAGTTTGCTTTTCTTTCACTTAAAATTCCTCCCCAAAACTGGGCTGTGATTGCAATGATGACGACGGTACCCATTTGGATTTCTATGCACGTGTCTCTTACCATCAGAGAGGATAGGCACTTCAGGTAGAGGTGACCTGTCTGGGTCATTCACAGTTTGGAACACGCTGGTTTTCAGCCTGCTGAGCTCTCACCTCCCAGAGCCGGCCACCATCCTACCTGGAGGTCCCTGAAGTGAGCAGAAGACAAGGACACCTGGGGCTGGTTCTTAGGACAGCTTCTCTCTAATAATATGTAAAGGGCTGCCTTGCCTCCATCTCTTAGGCCGAAAGGAGGCAAAAGCCAAGGAAGAGTGGGCGGGGCTGCAGCAGAGGGAAGTGTCAGGGAGAGGGAGACCTGTCCTGTACGATGAAGGCAGCAAGGCAGCTGCCGGGGCGTCAGGAGGCATCCGTTTTCACGGCCAATATACATGCACTTTGTATCCTTTTCCATCTTAATGAAGGAAGGTTAGCATGAAGAAAAGGCTGCCCCTGAGCTGTCTGCAGCCTTTCCAGGCGCATCTCCATCACCTCTCTCCCCATGCCCATTCCTTCACTCCTCCTTTGCCTGGACCCTCCACTCCCACCTCCTCTCTGCCCCTCCCCTTAGATCAGCAAACAAATTTGAACTCATCATGACCTTCAGGTTCTGACTCCACTCACCATCCCCTGGGGGAAGGTACCCTACTGCCTCAGCCAGAGGCCCGTGTCAAGCAGGACATTAAGTCCATGCCATAGGTAAAGTCAAAGTAAAGGTGAGCATCCTTAGCAGAGAGGAATGATGTGCAAATTCATAAGTCAAGATTCTGTTTACTCTTGTATTCCAAAGGTTCTTAGTTTAAACAGCTCTGAAAAACTTAAAACGCATTGGCGTTTCCGCTGTTGTGAGTAAATTTACAAGTCAATTATTTTCTATCTGAGGGAAGGACAGGCTCCCAAACTTGAAGGTCAACTTTCAAGTGTTAACCCTTCCCATGAAGGCAGAGACTTACCACCAGCTCCCCGGGGGCTAGGAGTGAAGACGTGAGCCCGGAGAACAGGTCGTGAACTTTCTAACAGCCCTTGCTCGCGGTTTGTTAACACATCCACTCACGTGCAGTCAGACTGTGTGGAGCTTCCATGGACGAGGGTGGGTCGAAGGGGCAAAAACAGGACAGCATTTACATAACATCTTTGCTTTTACGTAAAATGCACTATAAAAGTCTTGCTTGCATTTTTCCAAAACAGAGTCAAACTGTAATATTTTAGATTATATATATGTCATAATTGTGCCAAATTTCCCATCTTCCTTCAAAATTTTCTGTAAGCATTTTTACAAGTTTTATATTTGGCTCCATTCTGTTACCACCTTAATTTGATTGTAAGTTCTGTGTTTCAGCAGCTTATTTTTGTTTCTTTTTCTTAAGGTGGTAGCTTAAGAAAGAATTTGCATAAAAGTCTTTTTTCAAACTAGTTGCAATGGAAAGGCCTTCACAGCCGTTTAGAACCTTGGGCTATACTGCCCCCATGTGGCCACTTTGGTGAACCAACAAGGGCATCCAGCAGCAGCCTTGAAGGCAGACAATGTAGACAAGGAATGTTTTTAGGTTCAGCTGTTTAATATTTGCCTCTGCTGGCACCATGCCCACATGGACAGGAAATATTTCCACAGCAGCTCAGGGCAGATGATGCACAGCTCTCTCTTATTTTTCTAAAGAACAAAAGGAGCATCAGTGGAAGACATAGGCGGGTGCCTGTGGTAAAATGAAGGTCCACGCTGCTGAGGGCCAATCTCTGCAGATCCCCGAGCTCACGACCTTGCAACAGGGTCAGAAAATGCTTTGTGATGCCTGTCACATATCTGTCTCGTATGCCCAACAACCATTGCAGGTACCAAGCGTTTGAAGCAAGTACGATTGGAGTTCAGGCGGTTTTCTTTTTTATTCACACTCTTTCTCCATTACTGTTATCACCTCGTTTTGATCACTCTCCTTGTATCGTATAATTTGAAAAGAGAAAGGTTGTTGAAGATCAGTCAATCTAACCCCCTGGCCTGGTGAGCAAAGAGCAGAGTCTGCCCCCAGCCCCAGAAACGCTGATGGAGAAGGTCTGTGGTAGACCAGAGCACCGCGGGGGTTCGTGCGCTTGGTGTTTCCCCATCACACATGGGTAGCCAGCTGTGAGCCATGGAGGAGAGCAGGTGGGAGCGGTTCAAACTCCCTTCACCGTCAGCACCCATGTTAATTAGGCAGGATTGGGCCTGGAATTCGTGGGGGCCGTGCTCATAGCCCTGGCTTGATCTTAGCTGCACGTTGGAGTCACCTGTGGAGTTTTACAAATAGTGACACCTGAGTCCCACCCCAGCAATTCTGATTTGATCGGTCTGTAATGTGGCCTGTGGTTTTGACTTTTAGAAGCTCCCAGTGATTCTAAGTGTAGCCAAGTTTGAAAACCACAGCTGCAAGCCCATCAACCTGAGAGTGTGCCTGAGCAAGGGCTACAGCCCGAGGAGGACCCAGCCTGGCGGGAAGCGCGCAGCCTGCAGGCCAGGGAGAATCTGCGTTCAGCTCCTCGATTTCACAACAGAACATTAACTCTGTCTTCCTGTATGCTGGTTTTTAAAGCGTATGCATCTAAACTTAATTGGCAATATAAAATACCTGTATTTGAGGCTCCAAGTATTTTGCTTTCATCTCTGGTTTTGAATTATGTTTTGCCCCGTCCATTCCAAGTGAAAAGTAAATAAAAGTGGGATATCTGGTGCCCATGCTGAGTGTGGCAGCTTCAAATTCAAGAGAGAACAGTGTCTCATGTAGAAAAGGTCTGAGATGCTTTATAAGTGAATGTAGATTTTGCTTATGTTGGTGAAAGAATTCTCCCCCCGCCATTTCCTCATCCCTCCTGTGAGCCATACCCCTATGCCTATGTGGGGGATCAGAATTGGCCATCCCAAAATGTGTCTCTTTGGCATGAGGATCATTTGGGGCTGGTTACTTTTAAAAACTGCAGACAGAGGACAAGCTCTGAAAACCAAGTAGAAGTTACCCTTTGCAAGAGACATTTACATTTGTAAGGGAAATCTCCATCTGTAAAGGTGTCTCCCTCTCTGTACCAGGAAGAAGAAAGGAGATGACCTTCTCTCTAGAAACTCTTATCAATTCGGAAGACAAGGACCTAAATCTGCATAATAACCTTACTCTTGTTTACTGTGCTTTTCTGGTGATCTCCCATAAAAGACTCTCCCTACCTTCAACATCCTCATTTGTCTTTAGCTGAAGATGGTATTTAAGGTGTCGACCTCAGCCATCCTGGAAAGTTGCTCAGTTTTCTTGAGTTTCACCCACATATACATGTTATAAAGCTTTGTTTGATTTTCTCCTGTTATTCTGTCTCACGTCAATTTAATTCATGGCGCAGCCAGAAGGACCTAACAGGTGGAGGAATTCTCTTCCTCCCCTACATCCAGTAAAGCAATATCTCTGAAGGACTGGAAAACTCTGGAAGTCTGTGTCAGGCATGGGTGAGTCAATGATAATTCTGCAGAGAATACAACAAAACTGGTTTAAAAACAGCGATAGTCCATATTTACTGTAAAATGCCTCTACTTAGGTTTTTTTCACTAGCTAGTAGTCTTCAAATCCCTTGTAAGAGAATTATGATGCTTTTCTTACATTTACCCAGATCCGGACTCTCTATTGACTGGTTAACTCCTTCCTGCAGGGTAGAAAGCCGAGTCTTGTAGACAAGACAGTAGGAATTTAAAAGTCAGACTGACTTGAGTTCCAGCCCTGAGGCTGTGGGAGTTTGGGGAAGTGACTTAGAGTCTCTGGATCTCAGGTTCCTTTCCTGTAATTTGGGATACTATTAATATCTACCTGACAGAGTTATGTTGGGCTACAATGTCTAGACCAGCACTGTCCAGAAGAATTTTCTGTAATGATGGAAATGCTCTGTATTCACACTGTCCGGTACAGTGACCACCAGACTAATGCAAAATGTGGCTAATGTGACAGTGGAAGAGATTTTTAATTTTATTTAATTTTAATTAACTTAATTGTAATATGGCCAATGGCTATATTAATGGACTGTACAAGTCTGGCATATGATAGATGTTCAATAACTATCAGTGTAACTTGGACAATGGCATCAGGGATTTCTATGTTTAAATTACTGGCCAAATTACTTAATTTTTTTTGAAAGAGTCACCCTGAGCTAACATCTATTCCCAATTTTCCTCTCTTTTTTTTTTCCATTCCCCAAAACTCCAGTACGTAATTGTATATTCTGGTTGTAAGTCCTTCTAGTTCATCTATGTGAGCTGTCACCACAGCATGGCTACTGACATGACAGATGAGTGCTGTGGTTCCACACTCGGGAACCAAAACTGGGCCACCAAAGTAGAGTGTGCCAAACTTTGACCACTAGGCCAGCAGGCCTGGCTCTTACTGAATTTTTCTAAGCCTCAGTTTCCTCATCTGTAATACAGGGCTACTAACACCTACCTCATAGGTTTGTTCCGAGGATTAAATGAGAAATT